CATTTTTACACTAGATGATTGTGTACACTAGATGACTGTTGTCCATTTTATGAGCAAATGAACATGGCTACACTGCTCTGGTTTGCTGTTCTGGTCCCTCCAGCAGCTCCTAGTTTGCTTCCCCTGCCTGTTCAAGTCTTGATCCTGTTGTTTAAAATCAAGAGTGCAGCAGAACCAGCTACATCCCTTTTTGAATATCCAATGTCCCAGCAACACAATTACAAAAAACTCAGGATTATACCACAGGAGACCTGGACATAAAATATTCTCATCAATGATTGTGAAATGAGCTTCCAGAGATGGCAAGGCTAATTCACAGCTTGAACAGCTTTGAGACATACTACAAAACTCTTCCTTGTGTTTATATATAAAGTACCCCCTCCCTATAATGCAAGCTCCTTTACTAGGGAAACTGAGAACTGTAGAAGACTCCATTTACTCTACTTAGGTCCTTACTGTGTAAAATTAATTTGCTTGGGCAGCAACTGGGTCCTACAGAAAGTTACGCAACTAACAGAAATTAGCAGAATTATGAAGAATTATTAGTAGGGGTGTGTGAAACGGGTCATATTTGATTCGGATTCAGCCCAAATTGGGGACAGTGATTCGATTAGTTGATTCAGATCACTGTCCCAATTCAATTTGGCTGAATCCAAATCTGAAGATTTGATGCTGATACGGAGAACCAGCAATTCGGCCACGGACACAGCTTTAAATGTTTTTTCTACATACTTCAAGGTACCAGGTGTGGCTCATGAATGCTGCGATGCTGGGGTGTATAGAGTATCCCACAGGAGTGCGGGGGGCCCCCCATATGCTCGGCAACAAACCTGCAAGTGGACCGGAAGTACTTCTGGTCTTCCCCACTTGGTTCAGTGATCACTCTCAGGGGGACTCCGGGTGCCCCCCCCCCAGACCTAGGAGGCACCAGTTGCTGAGCTGGGAGGCATGGGGGGGGCCCCCTGGCACGCTCCCTGGTGGACCCGGAAGTAGACCGGAAGTGCTTCTGGTCCACTTCTGGTTCTGCTGCCGAGTGCGCTGGGGACCACCCCCATGCTCCTGTGGGACACTCCATCTGCCCCACCATCTCAGCATTCACAAACCGCCTTAGAAAAAACATTTAAAGCTGTATCTATGTCCGCATTATCAAATCTTTCCGAATCTCTCCGAATCGATTCAGAGGGTTTGAATTTGAGTCGGAGAGATTAAAGGATCTTCTGATTCTATTCGGATTTGGAGATTCGGCTGCCGAATTGGGCCGAATCTCCGCCAAACTGAATTAGCGATTGAAGCTTTGCACAGCTCTAATTATTACCATATGAAAGACTAGTTATCTTACCAAATAACAAGACAGTGTCAAACAACAATATAAATCTTGGAAGGAGTTACATTATCAAAAACACACCAATATAAGCATAAGGACAACAATAATCATGAGCATGGCATGAGCAAGGCTCACAATTTTAATCCCAATTATAAATTAAAGGGATCAAGAGACCTTAAAGAAACAAATGAACATGTATATTTGGTGATGCATAATAATTGCATCAGGTGAAATAGGCTGTAGCAGTCTTTGACTAAATTCCATAAAAAAACATTAGCAACTAAGCTGACTGAGATTCAGGATATGCATGATGAACACTAATCAGCTAGTGTATAACTTGGAGACCTGGCAGGTGCACAGTAAGCTGGAAAGGACTTTTATACATTTTTATAACAATGCCATTTAAAAAATGCACTGGTGTCAGCAGGTATAAGACAAGAAGCTGGGAAGCAGCACAGAAAGCAAATGATGACCAGGGACCCAAAAAGGAATGCAGAAGGGGATGGGGGGAATTGAAGAAAATGACATTCCCAATGTTTCTTGAGAGATGAGAGGCAGTTGCAAAATGAAATAGAAAAGACAGAGAAAGAAAGAGCAAGACTGACAGAAAAGTCACCTCTAATGATGGGAAAAAATTCTGATCAGCCAGAATGAAAGGATAATTCATGGTTTATAATAACAGCCTGGGGCCCAGGAAACCTGGACTAAATTCCTGCTCTGTAACAGATTTCCTAAATTTGACCAAGTCCCTTAGCTTCTTTGTCTCACTTTCCCTTCTGTAAAACAGAAATAATAGCATTTATCTGCTTCCTGATGTGTTGTGGGGATAAGACATTAAAGATTTAGAGGCACTCAAAATGCTATCGTGACCATGTAGCTATAACTGATAGATTAGAAAAATAAGAAATACTCATGACAGTACTGATTAGAAAACTAAATTAAAAAACCACAACGGGTGAAAACAGGGGGGAGTTTAGACCAGGAATTTGAGACATCAATATAGTAAGGCTACATGAAAGAGCTGAATTTTAAAGTAGCATTATTAAAAAAATTGTAGGGTACTTCACATACATAGGAACCTAAGACTGAAAGGTGCCCCTCTGGGTGATCAAAACCAGTCCTCAAAGTTTGCAGTCAAACATTTACCCAAAGAATCCTTAAAATCACCACATCAATCTGTTACACTATGTGCATAAACCAGAAATTCTGGAAGTACTCTACCAACACCATGGGTAAAATGGCTGGAGAGACAATGGCACTGTCCATGCCAAGTCACTGCAGTGACAAAAATAATTGGTTAATACATGATCAGAGGACCCTAGGAAGAGGACTGTGCTAAAGAAGATGACAAAACTTCTCACAATCCTTCCCAATTTAACTTAGGGAAAAAATACTTCCCTCACTCCAAATGTGGGCCACAAACACATGTTACAAAAAGAGCCCATACAGATGTTCCAGGAATTTCTTGAGGAAGAGAACAGGCTCTTATGCAAGAAATTTAGATCAATTCCTACCTGGAAGATCTCCATCCTCCCAAAATAACTTGAATGGCTGCCTGCTTTTCTCAGGTGTGGAGGACATTCAAGACCCCGGTCTTTTGCTCCCCTTCTGAAGGAGAGGGATGGAAGGAGAGCACTCCCTGCCCAGGGGTGAGGTGTCACAAAGTCTTGTAGAGACTTTGCAGTGAAAAGTCTTTCTCCGCTTCCCACCAATTGCCTGATTGGCATGATGGGGTAGGGCATTCTCCTGTGGCAGGAACCTTCCCAGGACAGGTTTCTACTGAGGCAGAATGCCTCCTCTCCCCGCAATCAGCTACTCAGGGTAAATTTTCCCTGCAGGGTGATTTAAAAGTGGGTGGGGCCAGGAGCTGGGCTTGGGGAGGCTCTGCATGGCCCTACTTCCCTGTGCTTCCAGCTGTAAATCACCCCATGCAAACCCATCCTGGCTGCACAGACGATGATTTAAAAGCCAGCTGGCTGCCTATTAACAGCTTGCCCCCTTCTCAGGGGAGAGGACAAGCTGGCAATTAATGGACTCCCTTATAGGTTGGAGTGACCCACAAAGCAGTTCTTTAATTCCCCCCTGAAGAGCTTGCCTGTGTATCTCTCTAGGCAGAAGGCTGCAACACATGTACAACCCAGCCCCTGGGCTATTTTTCTAGCAGTTATACACACCTGTCTGTGGCCTTGGTGTTCAATCTGATCCTGAAATGGAGGAACAAGCCCCCAAAGAAAACAAGAGCTTATTTCAAGTAATGGCAAAGTATGAAGGAAGGCAAAACTGAGCAAGATAGCAAATGGTGGAATAAATACCAAAGAGTGAAGGACAAAATGAAAGCAAAGATGAACATGGGGATTGGAGTATTTCACAAACAGCTCCATACATGGGTTTTATTTCATACAGTTTTGACAAGTGGTTAAAAATGCAAAATTAAACTAAAGATTCCTTTTCCTTCACCAAAATTAAGATATAGTTGTTGATTTGTTTATGATACCTTGACTGTCATCCTCACTTTCCAAACTACATATTTTACTTCATTGTTAGACAATGTACTATTATAAAACTAGGTTACTATTAAAAACATTAATAGAACTCAAAGGCTTTTATTTCTCTGGCTGTTTTGAAAGGTGACTTCATAGTAGTGTGATTCATACGAGTTGCTAACCAAGCTAAAATTAATTTGGCTTTTGGACAGTTGCTAACCAAAACTAAAATTTAATTTGGCCTTTGGACAGGCAGATAGTAACACAGTGTTACTGTATTCTGAACACAGCAGGCCAAATCTTCAGTTAAATGTGACATGGCATCAAATACACCAGCTAAAGATTTGACTCACTGTTTGTGATGCCATATTGTGGTTTGACTTGATAATTTTGGTTTTGCCCTGGTAATTTTTACATAGTTTAAACTAAACAACCATCAAATCTCAAGGGGATTCCAGCCCAAATTTTAGATTCTCTTGGATTCAATTCACACCGTGGCCTAGGTTGACAAAGGGCCTTCCCAATCTATCCACGTGAGTACCAGCATGCTAAAGCACAACACTGGTAATCTACCACCTGCTGCAACTAAAGGGAGACAAAAAAGAGTTAACTTTCAGAGTCTAACTGTCCTGGTAAAACAGGGCTTAAAATAAACCCTTATAGAAATTTGCCCATACTATATAAATGAATGTGTGGACATTATTTGTATAAGTTGTATACACTTTTATAATACATCAGTATAAAAATATACTGAAAGAATAACCTTAACTTTCCAAAACAGAGGTGAAATTTTAACCAAGAAAATTATTGCCTTTTTAGGGAACATATGGTTCAGAAGACTGCTTATTTATTTTGATAGATACGCAACATAAGAACATAATCTATCTTGGGTTTTAAATACTTATGAAATTGCTTAAAAGGCAAAACACAAATTATACAATCGCAGTATATTCCTCGTTTCCCCAAAGTACCACCAGTCACCATGCACAATACAAGTCAAAATCATTCACATTCACCATCCAAGGTAAAAGGCAACTGAGGTACAGCAAGTTCAAGTCATTTTCAGATTGAGAAAGGAGATATCATGATAAGAATACTACAAATTTTCCAATATACTTAAAATAATAATGAAAAAGGCTTGTCCTGCACATTGACAAAGGTATGAATCAATATTGAACAAAAGAGGTTCATACCTGAAAGTGAATTTGGTCTTCTGAGATGTCAGTAATTCAGTGTGTCCAATGAGATTCAACTCCTCATCTTCAAAAGATATCTGTGGTGCACCCTAATGAGAGATTCCAAAAGGCACATTTTGAAACTAAGTTTATTTAATGAGTTTTCAACAGTGGCTAATTATACTTTTAAATGTAAAAAACAATTATCTCAGCATTACAACTGGCAGTGAAAATTGAAGGCTCCATCCAATACATAGCATTTGTGACAACCTCCTGTCTTTATGAACATTGTGTCTCTGTGAGGTGTTTTCCTCCGTACAGAGTCCCTCATACTTCTAATGTTTTTCTGGTTTCAATATTTGTGGAAGTCCATTATCATTATTTGCTTTCAGAAAAAAAAATCTTTCAGAACTCGTAAGTTAGCATATTGTTCTGTATGCAAGGTCACATGAATTATGTGGCAAATTAGATCTACATTATCCAGCAGTGGCCACTGCTGTCCAGCCTCAGTTGTGTGAGATCCCCGAAGGCAGGGGCCAGGAAGATATGGCCGCATCCAGCCTCCCAGGTAATTTTATCTGGCTTGCGGGCACCCACCAATTAATTGTACCCTGCCTAGCCCATGTGCCTGGCTCCAACCCTTGCGGGTGGAAAGGCCTAGCCCAGAGGGCATGTAGCTTCTGGGTGGGGCTGCTGCTGCCACTGCTGCTGCCACCAGAGGACCTGCTCAGCTTCCCCAGTGTCCCACTCACTCAGGGCACCAGGTAGGGAAGCAATGGGGACAGAAAGCATAGGGCTGGGGCTGTTGGCAGTCTGGAGCCCGTGCTTGGGGGGGAGGGGGCAGGAGTGTGGCAGTTGGGTGGGCAGTGTGTGGGCGTGAGGAAGGGTAGCAGGGTGTGGGGACTTCCCCATACACTTCCCCCACCTAAGGCACACAGCCCTCACTGCAAGCAGCAGCAGCAGGCGGGGGAGCTCCAGGTGTTGGTGGCCTGCACAGGCATTACTGCCTGGCAGCTCACAGCTCCGGTCAGCACTGCAAGTGGTGCCAGGAAGCACAGCCAGGCTGGACCACCTCTACTGTGTGGGGCCCTGTGGTGCATGTGCAGTTTCCCACCACTGGGGGAAGTCCTGTGCGATGGAGCCGGGTGCCTTCCCTGCTCCCTGCTGTGCTGGTCCCAGAACTCTGCCAGAAGTGGAGGGGAGCCCTGCCCTCTGCCTCCTGGTGGAGTCCCGGGATCTGCATGGCAGGGGGTGGGGAAGGCAGCGCTCCATCACATGGAGCTTCCCCTGGTGATGCGCAAGTGCCGGCAGCTGCACATTCACCGTGCGGCGCCCTCAATGATAGAAATGGGTCGGACTGGTTGCACTCCATGCCACCACATGCAGCACTGGCTGAAGCTGTGCACCACCGGGCAGCAGCACCTGTGTGGGCCACCAATGCCCTGAATGCAGCCGCCTGCTGCTGTTGCCTGCAATGAGGGCTGTGCACCATGGGAGAGAATGTGGGGGGGGTCCCCACACCCCCCACCTTCCCTCACACCTCACAAATGCCACACATCCACACCCTGCCCCCACTATCCCCCACATATACACACACCATCCAAACATACCCTATTGCCCTCCCACACACAACCCCCCCCTACAACCCCCCCCATATCAGGGCACTGGGATGTACCTGCTCCTTTAAGAGAGTTAGCAGTCTGCAAGACTGCTCACAGTTGGCAGAGGGGGACTAATTTGGGACTCACCAGACCGGAAGAGGGCTCAGGCTGGAGCTATATAAGCCCAGACCTTGCACCAGTCACGTAGTCTTTCTCCCTAGCAACCAAGAAGTGAGGAGCTCCTGGCTGCAGGGCTCCTGAAGGGACCTGGATGTTGGGCTGAACAACTCTGCAGCCCTGGGAACAGAGGCAAGTTCCTTGGACTGAAAAAGACATGCCTGTCAACCCAGTCTATGTTAAACTCCCAGAGGGAATGAGATGTCTGCCAGAGGGCAGTGATTTTGCTTATTCATTTGAGTTAGACTGGTAGTTTAGCCTTGAGTGCTGCTGGGGCAGGCTCAGGGCCTGTTAGAGAATTGGTATCCCAGCAGCCCTCAGACTGAGGGTGAGGCTCAGTGAGGATCCCAGGAGCCTGGAAAAAAGGCTGAGACCAGAAGGTCCAAGAGCCCAGGGAAAGGTTGAGCCAGGCCAGAGGGTCCATGAGCCCAGAGCTGGCCAAGCTGGACTAGAGAGTATGAGAGCCCAGAGAAGGACTGAGTGCAAGACGATGGGTCTGAGGGTGCAGGGGGAGACTATGGGACCAGAAGGTCTGAGGGCTCAAAGGGGGCAAATGTATAAATAGTTACATCAATGAGAGAGAACACTGATGAGGCTTGGGGTGTGGTATAGGGCAGGTGAAGGAGCCACGCCCTAGGGCACCAGGCTCTTGATGCCCTACAGGGGACTAGTCAGGCTAAGCAGGACTTGCCAAGCCTGAGGTTTGGACAGAGGCTAGTGGTGTCTCAGGATAGACTCAGTGTGTACTTATTGGGATTAGGGCTCACTCTAATGCCTATTGGTAGCCGCCTGAATCAACCTAAAATATTTAAGAACGAGGCATGGCAGGCGAGTAATGTAGGAAGAGTGGCATTAGAGTTTGAGCCAGGCCATGAGACTGTCCCCTCCCCACACCCCATCATACACACACATCCACCCCCAACCACACCCCACACCACCCAGACAATATTCAAGAGTAAGACTTTATTTCTGGGTTATTATGCAATCACCTCTATACAACAGACAAACACAAATGAGGACAAAAATATTTTTTGTAATGAAATTTAAATATGTTATAGTAGGTGTTTGACTTTTAGCATATGATTTGGTTTTTCTTCTGGTTCCAAGATGGCAACCCTCCCCCTCCCAAAAGGAGCATTTCTGGGGGGGCAAAGGGAGTGACATCTGGTGGGAAATGTCAGGGGTTAGGGGCAGGACTTCCAGTCCCAAGATGGTGACCGGGGGCAGGGCACGTGTTAAGGGCTGGGGCTACCCTTGTGGCTCTCAACAGCTCACCAAAACTTATTAAGCAGCCCTTCAGCTGAAATAATTACCTTCCCCTGTACTATGGGGTCTAGTGAGACATCTCCCTTTCTCTTGATGGTTGCTCCCTATTCCTCATTTCCTTCCCCTTCCCTCTGTGTCTCATGCCCTTCTTCAAAGTTACATGGTTTTGTTGGTGGCTTAGACCCTCTCAAATTCCTGTTCCATGGCAAAAAGAGGGAGGAAATGTGGCTCACTGATTCCTCTCACCCTGCAAATTCTGATTTCCCTTAATGGTCAGACAACGGTACAACCAACTCACCAGTCCCTACAACATTCTCTAACTTAAAGGAGCCATACTACTCTTGAAGGTTACTGCATATTAGGATTCTCATGACCCAAAAGCTGCTGAGAAAGGCCAGGTTTACCTAGGGCCATAACCAGAGGAAGAAGAAACAATCAGTGGGAAATAGCTGTAGAGTGTCTCTCACATTCTGCAGAAAAGAAAGCTTTTGAAGCCAAACTCCTAGGGAGCTTATGAGCTCCTCAGAATTGTAGTAGCTACAGATACTCTTGTTTTTACAGAGCTGACCTGAAAGTTGCACTTGATGAACTGGCTGGCCTTAAGAAAACCTGATGTCTCTTTCTTTTCCTCATCATCAACTTTGGCAAAAGCATTTTATGGTAAAGTCAGAGTTTTGCAATAACTTCACAAAAAGGGAAGCTAGGTAGCCATTTGACAGGACACAAAACTATGCTGCAAACAGGGCTGACATTAATGCCAAAGCACTTCAGAAACCAGTTTTTAACTTTCCGTTCCTGATCCCACTGCTCTTTTGTGTATTTTTTCCACATTGGGAGAGGGGAAGAGGTACCAAAGAGATAAGACCACTGTCAGCAGGTGATATATTAGCTTTAATGTACTGTACTTCACTGTGACCCTCATGGCAATAATGTAAACAGAGCAAAATCCATAACAAAGACCTTTCCTGGAGAGGTCATTGCTGCCAACTCTGTAACAGGAATATAGCTGGAAGACATAAATCTTCAGTTGTCAACACACTAAGAGAATTCAATTCAGAGTTTGATCTTAACCAGATAAAGCTTAAAGTTAATCATTTAATTTTTACAATGGGCGCACATTCCTTCACTATAATGTCTTACTGTACTCAGTTGTCTGAAGATAGAGTGGGAAGCTTGTATATTAATTTAAAAAACAAAATGATCTAGACTGGGTATTTTACTTCTCACTTAAAAGAACTTATAACACAATTTAATGTAACAAGAAATTATATTATAAAACTTCTGATTTTGCTAAAAAGGAATTCTAATCAGAAAGATGACTGCAAGAATGACACTGGGTCTCGGTATTTATGGTCTCTCTCGCAAAGATTTTGAAAACAAATTTGTTTAGTTTAGAAGTGACAAGAAAATGAGAAAGATTTTTTTTTTCTAACACTTACCCTTACAAAGTAAGCTCTGAATCTGTAAATCAAGTCTGGCTCTTTATGGCTCATGTATCGCAAATAGGATTCTGCAACTGACCTCTAAGTAACAATTCTGTTGATAGGTGAATCAGAATAAAAGCCAGCTGTCTTCAATTAAGTACAGCAAAACCAAAGCGTCACAGGGAGGAACAGAAGAGAAGACCCCAAAAGGCCAGAGGGGAACCCCAGGGACAGGAACCCTCGGAGGAAAATAAAAGAAAGAGAAAAGAAAAAGGGAAATACTCACCTGCAGAGGGAACCGTGGGGAAACCGGAGCCTGAAGAGGGACCCGCACGGCTCGTTAGCCACGCCTTTATACAGTTGCGGCCAGCAGATGACATCAGCCACAATTGTCAACTGGCGGAAATAAAGCGGGCCGCTGGCAAGGAGGGGAGGAGAGCGTCACTAGTAAGAACACCAGCAGGAAAGGGCTTCCCTGAGCTTTGGCGAAGGCAAAAAGAGCCGGAAGCGGCTTCTCCCAGTGGTGGAGAATGCTGCAGAGCACACAGCGGGACAGACACTACTGGTGGCAGTGAAGGGGGCCGGGAGCCGCAGACGGCCCCTCGTGACTGGGACCCTGGACAAAAGAGCAGATGGGAACAG